AACTGAAAAAAAAGTCTTATTACAATGGGAATATTAACTACATGAAACAACAAATCACTTAGCAAAATATCTATCGATGCCAGAGAAATGGTTACTCTACTTTGATTTAATGTCAACTGCATTTATGAATTTTTATATTGCAAATGAGTGCATTTTATTTTCCCCTCTCTGACTTAGTCCTCAGGAAGTTCCTGAGTAAGAAAATATTAGTTTGTCATTGCTACTTTCAGATGACTCCCTGCCCATAGGGTCCCATATTTTTCTCATTGCAATTGGTAAAGCATTCAACCTTCACATTTATATCAACCAATTCCTTTTTATTCTGTAAGAGCCAAGTAGTGTATTACCTTCATCTTCATCAGAAAAGGAGATAAACTGAGGCAAATATGCTAAATGACTTCCTTAAGCCCACACAATCAGGATTCACCCATCCATMTTTATCGGTGATGCTACAAATATTTAGTGATTGCCAATTTGTGGCAAGCTCTGTTTTAATTGCTGGTAACATAATGGGAAATAAGATGGACAAGGGCTCTGTTTCCATGCGGCTGATGTTCTAGATGAGGGAAATAGACAAATGGACAAGCTAACCAATAATTTTTTTAAAAATCAAGTAGTGATGGATGTTATGATGAAATTAATTGAGACATGAAATACAGGGTTATTTAATCTTAACCCTAATTCCACCCCAATGTTGGGAGTAGCTATTTTTAGTGTGGCCAGGGAGGCCTCTCTGAAATGGTGACAATTGAGCTAAGATCTGAATGCCAAGAAGCAGCCTGTGAAGGGAACCTCTGGGAGATCATTCCAGGCAGAGGTAAAAAGCAGGACCAAAGGTTTTGATGTGACAACAGACTTGGTGTATTAGAGGAACAGCAAGGCTCATGTGGCTGGGATGTGATAAGTGAGGTGGAGAGCAGGGACGGAAGATGTACTCAGATACAAAGCAAAGTGCCAGGTCACATAGGGTCATCTGAGCCATGGCAAGGCGTATGGATTTCTTTTAGAATTTTCTTCTTGAGAGAYAATTTTTCTTTTAAGAGGGTAATTTTCTCCTTGGTTCCACTGGATTATTAGCAGAAAGTAACACATGTGCTTTATGATTCTGAAAGTTCACTCTGCTGGCCGTGTGGAGAATGAATGACCCGGGGACATAAGTGGTAGCAGGCCTCTCAGTGGCGGCCATCAGATAGTACAGGTGAGAGAAGAGGCTCTCTTGCACCAGGATGGTCTCCGGGGAAGCAAAGTAATTGATGGATTTGGTATATAAATTTTTTAAGTGGATCAATAGGACTTAGTGACCTACTGGATGTGGGAATAAGGCAAGCAGAGTTGAGGATGATGCAAGGTTTTGACTTAAACATGTGAGTAGAGCCCATTCATTGAGAGACRATGGCAGAGGGAGAAACTGTTTTTTGTTTTCCATTTTTTGTAATCAGGGAAAGGAATTTAAAAATTCCATTTTAGGCATCTTAATTTTGAGATGTGGGGCCAACTGGAACTGCCAAGTAGGGAGATGTTAAATACCCAAGTCTAGAAGGGAGTATTTGGAGCTGGAAACAGAGACTTGGGAGTTACCCATGTGAAGATGGTTTTTAAAACTCTGGAAGTGGGTGATGTTATCAAGGAAAAGAGTGTTAATGGAAGAAGGGTGGCCACACCTCTTGGCTCTTATCCTTCATTCCTAATCCCAGTGCAGACCAACAGACACAGTACATACAACACAACAATTCTCTCTTCTGTTCCACTAAGTGTAACAAACATTTATAATATCTTCTATATTTAAAGATGCTCCCCTAAGAAATCAAGGCCACAAAGATAGGTGACTAATGTAATTTGATGCTTCCTGAAGTTGTTCACAAACTAGGAAGCAGAGAGCAACTGTAATATAAAAGGTAGACTATGTTAAAATATTCCCAAGAGAGTCTGAAGAGGATCAGCAACATAAACTCTGAAAGAGAGAATAGGAGCAGTTCTTGGAGGGTCAAGAAACTGAATTTATTTTTTTCTTGCTTGCACAAAGGTCACTATTGAAGATTCTTGAGTTTCCCAATAAGATTTACATTCCTTCCCTGGGCATGTCTTACTCATCCTTCCATGTCTAGCTCAAATCTCACCCAGTCCACCTGTATCATCCATTCTCTGCTTACACAATATTTTTTTTTTCTCTTTCAGCCCTCTGCCTTTATTATCTAGTGTGACTCTATTTAGTACTTATGATACATGGTCTCTTTCAGGTGGTTAATTACAAGAACATTTTATTTTTTCAACTGGTCTTTAGATTTATTTTAAGCAGGATCTGTGACTTTAATCCGTAGCCCCTGGCTCCGGGAAAGGAACACAGTAAGCCCTCAAGCAATGCCTGTTGTTTCAAGTATTACCTTTTCCCATCTCCAATCAGTTCAGGCTCCTTTGATCTAGGCTCTCATAGACCCTTCAGCCCTTTTCTGAGCTTTTAACTATACTGCTGTCTTTGTGACTATTTTAATTGGGTCTGTCTTCTCCCAGGCTCCAAGTTTCCAAAGAGCATAGAMCATCTCTGGTTTTGCTTGCAGTAGTGTCCCTGTTTTGGGTATAATATTGATTGAGAAAATGAATGAAAAGAGCCTCCCTTAGGTGTTCAAGGGGTCAAGAGGCTGTGAATGAAGTAGCCTCAGTAATGATCTGTTTGCTTGCGGTTTCTTAAAGAGCAATGAAATCCACACTGCAAAACTACACCACATGGGGATTTCCTTTGGATACACTTCCCTTCTGCTTAGGGACAAAAAACATCCCAGAGGGTGGCTCTTCTAGCTGAAGAAGGCCCCTTGAGGGCTGAAATGTCATCACTCAGGACCCTGGAGTCCTCCTTTTCACACAGCTGAGTGGGAAGGCAAAGCAGAGTGTTCCCAACTGTCAAGAAGAACAAGCACACTGGCAACAGACATGGATCCTCTAGGCAGATGGAGTGACATGTGTATTTACATACACACACACACACACACACACACACACACACACACATATATATATATATATAATTATTTTTTCTTAATCAATAAGTTTCAGCAAAAACATGAAAACTCAAGAACACAATAGGAATTTAAGGGACTTTGAAGGACTTTCTTTTCTTAAAGAATATTAGCACAATTGTTTTTTGGCTGCAGGTGACTTTAGGAAAAAACTCCCTTCAATATGTAAATCTCCTTTTCTAAATCAGGTTCTTCTAATATCTCCTCTTTTCCTCTAAGAAATACTTTCCTGGAATCAGCCAAAATAAACAAACAAACAAACAAGTGATATTTGAAGACTTCTACCCATATTCCTGACTCTGCCTGGCTTTCTGTCTCCCTTATCCACCACCCAGGCCTATTTCTTGTATCTCCCCAACAGGCCAACCTGGCCATTTCTCTTTCCTCTGCCTGGAGTGACCCTTCTTTGAATCCTTCCATGTCGGACTCATCATTTGGGCCAGTGGCTCAATGTCCTTGTTGGAGAGGTTTTTCTGACCCAATTAAAGATGTACTCTGTGCCACTCTGGATCACTGTGCAGTCTCTGTCTCATGAACAGCATGTGGCATATGGTGGGCGGTCAGTAAATATCTGTTTAAGGGCTGGGGATGTGGCTCAAGCGGTAGTGTGCTCACCTGGCATGTGTGCGGCCCGGGTTCGATCCTCAGCACCACATACAAAGATGTTGTGTCCTCCGAAAACTAGAAAATAAATATTAAAAAATTCTCTCTCTCTTAAAAAAATCTGTTTAATAATAAATAGGGTAAGATAAGCCAATTATGCTCCAGCAGAATCCTGTAACTCATCCGTTGTGTAAGCCAGTGGAAAATTTGCGAATATAAGCAATAGTTTGAAGATACAACCTGTGATTTATTGCTTGATTCTCACTTTGTTCAAGCATGTTATCATCCTCAAGGAACATGGCTGCATTTTTATCCAGCATAGAATCATATTTTGCTCCTAAGGTGTGTAGGGGTGTGTGTGTGTGTGTGTGTGTGTGTGTGTGTGTGTGTGTGTGTGATGACCTCATTGCACACAATCTGTTGCCTACACTTTGTATTCTTTCCTCCTTTCTTAATAATGGAAACTCATTTAAGAACAATGTATCCAGTCAAAAATAGCCACTTATCTCTTTGCATTTTCTCATGACTATAGCAGGTAGCCACATAACCTGGTCCTGGGGTGCTGAGGAGCCCAAGTTGGGTAAGGCTTTGGGAAAGCTATTGCTTCCTTGATAAAAAAAAAAAAGGTACAGACTCAGCTGCTACGTCTTTTGTCCTTTGACCTTCTATCCTTCTCCCTTTGTGGAGTGTAGATACGACATTGAATGTGTTGCAGGTGCTATCAGTGCTCTGCCCACAGCTCCCTGATACTCACCATTCCTATATTTACCACAGGATCCCAACAAGAAAGCTCCTGTGACTCTCTAGGGAGGGCTTTTGCCAGCTACAGGCTCATCCTTAGTCTGTAGATGGAAGGCAAGAAGAAGACTAGGGAGTTAGTGACCCTGGGAGCAACCTTAACTAATACCAGATGAGAATCCAAGGAAAACTATCCCAGCTTCCTGGCCTCCAGGGGAACAGGAAGGATGGATACTAGCTGCAGTTACTTGCTGCAGTCTGGCTGGGCACAAAATCACGAGCCACCACACACCTTGTAGATTCAAACAGCAACTCTTTATTCTCGGAACTGTCACCGGCTCTCTACACACGTTCTGGGGAAATCCACGTTCTGGGCAAAATTCACGCTTCCACTAGGCTCTGAATTCCAAAATACTTTTTTTGAATCCCATGAGAACTCAATGGGAACTCAAGGAGCRGGCGTGCCTGAGGCAGCAGGATACACCCTATTCCCAGCAGGGTACACCTTAAACCTGGAACCGCCCTAATCCAGTAGGATCCTCCCTAAACCCAGATCCACCCTGGTCCTTGAGCAGGGTCACCTTTCTCAAACATACATGCAATGTCACAGCGAATGTCCAAGGCAAGTCCATTTCCACGAGTCCTTCCTCTAAGCAACATGGGGTACGCTGGCAAGGAAATTGTCATACCTACTTGGCTAATGGCTCTCAGCAGTTACTAGTAGCAATAACCTACTCATTAATGCATCCTGTATTGTTGTTCTTCTCTTTCCAGCCTCACTTCCCCTACTTTTCTGGTATCACCTCCAAAATAAATTACTTGCAGAAAAATCCTTGTATCAGAAACTCCTTCCAGAGAAAGTCAACCTAAGACATCCTGTGACCATGAGAATGAAAGCCACATGCTAAAGGTAGAGAGGAGTCTAGAAGCCCACTCAGCCACTGCACCAGCCTTGGATGGCTTATATCTGGACTTTGTATTGAGAAAATAAATTTATTTGGGTAAGCCACCACAATTAGGTTTCTATGGCGTACAACTAAGAGATGTAGAGAAATTTTTTTTGTTCACTACAGATGATGCCAATCATCAGTTGGATATGGTTGCATTACTACCTCCTTATACCATATGGCACCTTACAACTAATTGTTTTCTTACATGTTGCTACATTTAATCCTCATGTCAATTCTATGAAGTAGGTATAACCAACTCCATTTTACTGAAGCCCAGAGGGCTGAGTCACTACTTGTCCATGATTACAAGGCTAGTAAATTCCATCACACATGGTGAGGGGTGGCAAGTCCAACAATCCTTTGCCCCTGAAGGACAGGGGCAGGATTTGCATTCTAAGGAGTCGGTGGCATTAAGTAATGAGTCTCACCTCCCACCTGCTCCCTTTGCCTTTCTCCTAAGACCCTGTGCTTTTCTATACTCATTTCCTATTACAAACTTTCACACCTATGGGACTCTTGGCTGCCAAAGCTCATCATAAACTTTACATAGTAATTAACATGCTCTCTGAAACATGTTACTGAATCTTCTTATCTCTAAGCYTTTGCCCAGGCTCTTGCCTTTGCCAGGAATGCTATATTTCAAAAATAGGACACCATAGTGTCTAGGCTCAGGAAGGASAGCCTGTTATCTGTAAGGATTGTTGTGGGCAGGATGCCCATACCAGTATGGTTCACAGACTAAAAATACACCGATGCTTAGTAAGTATGTTTAATATTGAAATGGATAGCTGTAGTGGAATCTTAAATTGAATTCAAATTTACTCCTCTTTAAAATCATTAACATCAAATTCCATCACACAAAAATGAAAGATACTATATAGATTTCAGGCAAATGAAATATACTCCATTGAGCATTTAATAAATTACATTCAAGTGTGACTTTTTCTTAAAAAAGACAAAATTATAATGCAACTATTTATTAAAATGCTGAGAATTTAAACATCATCTGAATCATACCAAATAATGGTATTTACTTTTGCAAAGTATGACAATGAGAATCTAGGAGTTTCTGTACAAGGCTGAGCATTTTGAACATTCCTGGCCTATATGAGAAAAGATTGTGTTCTCTTACTAGTGACTCAGGAAATACAATACACTTGAGTTACAACTGCTGGTCTGTAGAGACAAGGGTAGCACCCATGACTAGCTGGGCACTAGAAAACAAGCATGCAGTACTTTCGTGCCACTCTGGGACCCAATGAAATTTGCTCAAGGGTGAAACTACATGCAGGATGTAGAGAGGGCTGGACCAGGAGCTCACTGTGGCTGGAAGATGGAAGGGAAAACAGCATGCAGATAGCAAAGAAGCCRCCAGGAGCCTTCTCACAACCATCCCAGATCAGCAAGTTGGAAGATATTTATAAATATCAAGGTAGTGAGTAGGAAATATAAATGCTCATTGGGCCTGATTCAAGAATGAAACCATCATAACAGATAAAACTTTGAGGACAGGTGGTTATCATACCACCTATAAGCACAAGTCAACTCAGAGGATGCTCATCTGGTTTCAGTTGACAGGGAATTTATATAAATGTTTAAGTTTTAATTTTTGGCAAATTTATTTCACAAAGCTCTGGTTTCATCTCTTAAGAACAATAAAGTTCATTAAATGACAATTTATAAATGAGAATAGAACTATTTTAAATACATTTTGTTGGACATAGGCATTTTTTTTTTACTAACTATAAAATTAGGTGAAACAAAAAGATAATGACACCACAACTACCGTCTAACGACTTTGAGACTGCAGTTTAAGTTCAAAAGGTTAAGGATTTTACAAAAGATCACATTGCTAATTACACATGAAGAGTACTTGATTAGATACAGAAAATATTAATAAGTGTGGTTTTCTTCMTCTTGAAATATAGCTTTACTAAATAATACCAGCTCCTATTAAGATTTGACCTACTTTATGGTACCCTAACCTAGAAGATTCAAAGTAAACCAGTTACTTTTGTTACCAATTAGGTCAACATTTTATTTCTAAAATAATGTATTCAGGATACATTGGAGTAGCCTGTACTTATTTATTACATAGAATTGTGCAAACTTACAGATATTTTGCAGTATTTGCTATATTTTTCCAAAGTTGTTTCCTAGGACATTGATCATTAAGAGTATTTATGTTAGGGTTCCAAACACTAATGTCCTTTCTGAGAATATCTGGGATAAAACCCCTCTCTTTAATGTAACAAGCTACATATAAGAAAAAAAATCCTGAACTTGTATATTAGGGCAGGGTTGGAGGTACTATCTGAAGATCTGAGTGATATTCAGGAGATTGACACATACAAGGAGCATTAAATTTTTTTTTTTAATTTTCAAGAGAAACATTGTGGGAAAGGAAAAAGTGTTTCATAATCTAGGGTATGTTTAAAAGCCCTTGCTGTCATAGTCAAACGTACAAAAACATAATTCTTAAAGAAATAAGAGCCAAGGTAAGCTTTGGCTAATTGATTGATAGCTTTTGTTTGGCTCTGGAGGTTTCCATGGAAACAGCCAGAGAGACAGAAAAGGCAGCATTATCATCTTTATCCATAATGCCATCTGATAAAGCTGCACATTGATTCATTTATGCCATCCAGAGCAGATATATTACTTTTGGTTAAGTTGGACAAAGGGAGACATGGGTTCTACTGGTCACACTTTGAATTTCCTGTCTTTCTGTTTGAAACCTTAAATTAAAATCATGATAAAACCCTGTCTGAACATTTCCCTCAGAAGCTTCTAGTTCAAGTAATACTTCAATAACCAGAAACCAAATGAAGAAACGTGAAGCATCAAATGGAGCCCCACTGCTAAGTTCTTAAAATTATATGGCACCAAGCTTCCTGTAGCTGAAGAAATTATCCTGAAGAATATTTACAGTTCCGTTATATCAGATCTCAGATAGGCAAGAAATGCCATGTTAAGTGTTTATTATACACAGTTGAACCAGGTGGCATCATTCATCATTTTTCTCCTTCTATGTCTAGATTGTCTGTTTTAATATAGTTAACACACAAGACACAATTTTCTAATCTTATCAGGTAAAATGCTTCTTAGAAAGGCTAGAAAAACAGACTTAACTCAAAATCACACATCTGAAATACACAAAAATAAAAACATCAACAATAAAATACAAACAAAATAAGCTAAATATGGAGGCATGCAACCTTTAGCACCATGTTTAAGACCACAGAGGGCAAGAGTGTTAACAGAGGTCTAAAGAGGCATATAAGTTCTTGAATGGGATCCCAAACATAGAACCCACTTTTTGTGTCCAAAACTTTTAAAAAGGGAACGCCTGAGAAATTCTCAACAGAAATATCCATGATTTATCAGAGATAGACAATTTGATGTTATTCTTATTCTAAAAGCATTGGAAACATTATTTCTAAGGAAAAGACTGCTCACTTTGGGAGACCAGTTGGGAAATCAGTGCCAGCCTCCAGGAACTAAATGATGTCTCAGTACTAAATGATGTCTCAGTAAGTTAAAAAGACATGCTATGGCCAGAAGAAGGATCAATTTACTCATGGAGAGTAATTTGCTAGTGAGCAGTAAGCTCCCTCATATCTGCATAACAACCATCATGCGAAACAGTAAAAAGATTCAATGTGGCACATACACTCGTGTACTCCACAAGGCAGAACATTTGGAATATGTCCACACGATGGCATCAGGTATAGAAATCCAGAGCATAAAGTCTCAGCTTGGTCCTTTCTAGAAAAAAAAAAAAAAAAAAAGGTGGGCACCTAAAAGTCTAGGGAAAGTTTTATCTAGTGATGTAGTGAAGATTTTTATGATTTAAAGGTACTTTTATCTACTGCAAATCCCTCATCTTACTGATGGGAAACTGAGAACTCAAGTGTCACATATGACAATGGAAGTGAAGCCATGGGACATTTAATTCAGTTCTTTTCCTATTATACTTATCTCTCAGGTGCCTTTCAATCTTACATGCATCAGTTAATCAAGCTCAAGGAAAAATAACTGAGAAATATCAGATAGGAAAGTGCTGCATGTTTTGCAAAGATTTTGGCAATTCATGTTCTGATGTGCTTAATATAAAGGGAAAACCCCAGTCATCTTTTGGTAAAAATGTTATTTCCTCCAAGAAACAGCTCCTTTCCTGAGAGCTATTTTTGTAGGTACTGGGAAAGCTCACAGCTGACAGTTTTCATAGGCCCCATCTTTGTAGTTAGAGCTGGATTCTGCAGATCCTGTATCATCAGGTGGGATGAAATGATTGCTGTCTTGAGAATCTGTATCAATACTTTTGGTCTCTGACTGAAGGTGGACAGAAACCTGAACTGCTATCTCTTGACCTTGTTCATTCAGAGAGCCATCATCTGAATCTCCTCCTGGTGAACTGCTCCGCCCCATCTCTGAGTTAATGACATAGATGCCACCTTGAGCATCCAAGGCAGGTCTCTCTTTAATTCTTTCTCCCATGTCATCAGGGTCATCCACTCGTACAGCCTCAAACATCTCCTCGACAAAGGCCCGGCAGTTTAGAATAAGGGGTGGAAGAGGAACACTTCTTGCCAGTTCCTCAATGTAACGAGCAAACTCCATGGTCTTAAACTGAGTGACTTTGGCGAGTTCCAGAGTCTTGGCTGAGGTGATGATGGGGATGCGTTTTGCAATCTCAAAAGCCTTCTGAAGTTTCTCAGCCCCTTCAGTTCTGAAGAACTCATTGATGGCCTTCTCAGTCTTGCGGAGATGACTGCTCATCATGCACAGCCGTGTGACATTCAAGATGAGAGTGATTGTAAAGGCAATCAGGCACACAATCATGTAGTAGATACTCATGTCTCCCGAGGTGAAGATAACTCGGAGGGTGACAGAGTAGGAGGCATGAACCGGAGAGGAGACAAAGCATGTGTAGAGCCCACGGTCATCAAAGGCTATGTTGGTGATATTTAGGAAGTTATCAGAAACCAACCATTTTCCACCTGATAATCCAACAGAAATGAAAACAATTACAGCATAATAAATATTATTACTAAATAAACCAACTGCCTTATCAATGTTCTACTTCTTCATGAAAGTACTTTAACTGTTAGATTTTGCTATTTGTTTAAACCATATAAAAAGGGCAGACTGTTATATCCAGAGCTAGAATTAGTTAATCTGGAACTTCAAAAAAGAAACCAAGACACTAATAATTGCCATCATTTCCTTTTCACTGCTTGACATAAAATATCTTTGAGGCAGAGAGATGTGTCCAAATAATATTAAATGATTACTCTTTAAAAAGATGTTTATATGTAAGGTGTGTCTATACTACAATCACTACTTATATGCTTTTATAAAAATTTATTTAGTTTTTAGTTGTAGGTGGACAGAATACTTTTATTTTTATATGGTGCTGTGGATCAAATCCAGTGCCTCAAGCATGCTAAGCAAGTACTCTACCTCTGAGCCACAACCCCAGCCCTCTATGTTTTTTATGCTATCTATATTTTAGAAGGATATGCTCAGAAACATAAAACAATGGTTATTTCCAGGTTAATGGGTTATAGATAATTTTTATTCTTATTCTTTTTCCCCCCAGTATTGGGGATTAATCTCAAGGCCTCACATATGCGAGGCAAGCATGCTACAAGTGAGCTATATTCTCATATTTTTTTTTAAATTCTGAGATAGGATCTTGCCAAGTTGCCTAGGCTGGCTTCAAACTTGTGATCCTCCTGCCTCAGTTTCCTAAGTAGCTGGGATTACAGGTGTATACCACCATGCCCAGCTACTTCCTTCTCTTTATTTAACTATGTTTGTTCAAGATAAAAAAGTTATATTTTTTAAAAATCTTGGAAACTTAATGCATTTATTCAATTGCTAACTGGCTAATCTGGCATGCCTTGCACATGTTAACTTGCTTTCTTAGGAATGGCATGTCGATGATGACATCTTGATTTTCTGGCAAAAGGAACTGAAGCACAAGCCAAAAGATATATCTCACAAGTCAGGGTAAATGAGCAGCTTGGCAAAGAAAATCAAGCTGCCCTTAGAATGCCTATGCTTCTATTTTAAACCTACAATATGCTGCCTCTAGTCTGTGCATGAAGATATATCCCTTTAGGGAACACCTATGCAAAGTACAAAAATGCACAACAAAGCTTATTGAGCATCTACACTGATTGCACATCCTTTAATAATGTGGCTTAACCAAGAAAGCCACTCAAAGATGAGATGTATGGACTAACCTGGATTGTGTGAGTTCCCCAATGACTACAGGTGGTGTCTTGGGGAGAATGGGTGAGTGTGTGTTAAGTATCACMTGATTAACATTCAAAACTGCTTTCATCCCTGAGGTTATACGGTTCTTTATTAAAATAATGCACTAAAATAGTTGCAAATAAATTAGCAAGCACTCTGGATTGTGACCATTTTTATCATTAAAACTAATCTAAATTCTATGGCTATATTTATTTTTAGGAGTCATCACTTCACTAATGTAAAAGAGGAAAATATATAGCTAGAAACATAGCCATTATTCCAAAGCTTCTGTTCTATGAACTTGGAGCTATGAAAAGGACACCCTTTGAATCCAAGGTGTGATGAACTACACAGACTCCATTAATCAGCCAATGCACTACTACCACAAGCTAAACTCTTTAGCTCACTTGCTGATAATAGCTCAAGATTTATGAACCTTATACTAGACTGACATGCTCTTTAAACTCCTCTCACTTGAGATTCATAAAATTTAATACAATTTTCCAGAGCTGCTGCTGAAAGCATCAATGATAGATGTTAGTAGTCATCAAAGTAAAGGGAAAATAGGAAAATGAAACTGCCATTCCACTTGGCTGGTTTTGTCCTAACCTAAGGGTTTGTTTATGCAGTCAGTCTCTAAYGATCACACTGAATAATTCAAATCTCAGATGTGTTTGTTCAGGATAGCTGGGAGGAGAAGAGTCTAGTTCAGTGGGTACAAACAGAACCCTAAATCACATTCAAAATACACATTGATTTAATAGGTCTATATTTTTATTAAACTGATTAAAAATACTCTGTTCTTTCTAACAATTCAAACCCTTTAATTCCAGTTATTTAATCTGCAGAAGGGGTTAAAATGTTTAGTATATATATACTGCATATGCTCTTCATCTATTTTTTTCTTCTTTTTGGGTAGTGCTGGTTCACAAACAGCAAAATTAAGAAAAAACCTGTTAAAAAGTAGTAGATTTAAGTTGAATTATCATATGTTTGTGTGATTTTTAAGACTGAGAAACTCCTGCTTTCAAGTAAATAAGGTATAGAATAGGTTAAAAAAAAAATAGAGCGAGAGACAGAAAGAACTGGAAAAGCTTACAGATTTCCATAGTACCCTTCTAATGCTCAGAGGAGCTCCAAGTTTTATGCACAGATTTATATAGTAGGTCTCTAGTATCCATGAGTTCTATATTCCTGGATTCAACCAACTGCAAAGTGAAAATAATTGGGGGAAAATTATGTCTGTACTGAACATGTACAGATTTTTCTTGTCATTTAATAAACAACTACTTTATATAGCAATTGTATGAGTTATTACAAGTAATCTAGAAATGATTAAAGTATATGTGCAGGTTATATGCAAATACTAGGCCATTTTAGTTAAGGAATTTGACTTAGTTTAGGAATTAACATTCAGATTTTGGTACTTGAGGGGGTTCCTAGATACAATCTCCTGGGATACAAAGGAATGACTTAACTCATTAAAAAAAAATAATAATAATAATCCTGGATTTCCTCTAACATTTACAGTAACTCATTCTGAAACAAGAAATTTTTGTTTTTGTAGGTCTAGCCCAAATCCTTCCTGATGTATTCACATGGGGCTACTACAGTGGTTTATTCACAATGCAGTATAGGCAACTATACCCCTGTAGTTAAACAAATACTTTCTATACAGCTGTAAGAGCAATACTCATGTAGTCTATTGTTAGTGAAGAAGAAAACCAGCTCACCAAGAGGAAGGAAAATAGCTCACTACAATCATGTGAATACCTTTTAAATTTAACACTATGCTTCATGRTTTTCTTCTTTTGATTTAATAATTATAATTACTTTTTTTTCTTTGGTACTGGGGATTGAACCCAGGGGTGCTTTATCACTGAGCAACATTGCCAGTCTTTTTCATTTTTTGAGACAGGGTCTTGTTATGGTGCTGAGCCTGGCTTCAAACTTGAGATCCTCTTACCTCAGCTTCCAAAATTGGTGGTATTACAGGTATGCACCACTGTCTCTGGCACTTTGCTCCTTTTGATAGGTTTATCACTTTAGGCTTTTCAAAAGTTGTTAAGTTATTCACCCTTTCTCATCTTTTATATTTCTTGCTAAATATGTCATGAAACCAGGAAGAATGGATAGGAAATGAGTAAACTTGATTAAATTACAGCTTGGTACAATTACCTCTGCCTCTGTCATCCAGTTGTTGTCCTTTTGAGTTGTACCAACGGACATCTTCATAGTGATCAACTGTGAGAAGACATTCAATTGAAATGCTAGTTCCTTCTTTGGCTATGATGACATTATCACCTGAGTGGGAACCTGCTGCAAGTTCAAAACTTGGAAGAAATGATGCATTGTAAGAACTCTGATTTGCTCCCAGTGGGGCCATTTGGTTGAAGTCCACATCTTCCACAACAAGAGCAGCTGGCACAATAATAATCACCACTAAAGTGAATAAGCAACTATGTGGCTTCATGGGAAAATGAAAGAAAACCTTGTTTAGACTCGGAAAACTCAAAAGCTTCTATGCTATAATAAGAGCACAGTGGGTGATTTACTGCTTGGTAGAAAAGTTTTCCAAAAAAGTGGTAGATCCCAGTATATTTTGAAATCTTCAAGATTAAAGAGAGGTGAGTGGAGACCAACCTAAAAGAAAGACAAATATAAAGTTTAACCAACTGAGACTCATAATGGGGTGAAGCTCAGTATGTTCCAGAAATGAACAAACATGAAATTGATTAAAATAATTGGTGCTGACATCAGGGAGTGATTAGAGAGAAAATCGTCTAAAAATCTCACTGGTAAAAAATGCACTGAATTGGGAAAGAGCAGACCTAGATTCCGGTCCTAGCTTTGCTTATTAACAAGCTGTACGACCTTGGCAAGTAGCATTCTCTCTGGGATTCTGTTTTCTCATCTGTCAAGTGAGGGAGTGGATGAGATAATCTCTAAGGACTCTTCCAGTTCTGAAATGCCATGATTCTATTTTACTCTGACAAATTCTGTGCAACAGGGAGCCAATGAAAGCTAAAATATTTAGCTTAACGATCTTTTATTTCAACCTGCACCATTACCATCTGTTGTTATATCAATAATGTAAATCAAATGGTACATCATAATCATAACCACGGAGCTCCAAATTTGTGTAATTCAAGTACATACATATATTACATATAAATAATGCAGGAATATGTGTGGTAGTTTTTTGGTCTTCCTATTAGAAAGAGACTATATTAACTGCATTATACATAAATAGAGATACTGATTTCTGAGGCTATAGAACCTCCCTCCTGGGCAAAGAGATGCTAGACAAAAGAATTTTCCTTTAATAGTTTCTTCAGTATTAAGAGACAAAATACAGTACATTAAGTAGTTTGTAAGAATATCAAATTTCTAGCTCTAACTTTAGTAAAATTAGATAAGGGGAGAACTGACATTTTAAATGTGTAGTTGGTGGAAATGCAAATAAAAAACTCCAGAGGAAAAATATTAGACAGATTTAAAAGAAGAACAAAATATCATGAATAAAAAGCAAAACAAAAACCTAGCTTAAGAGTTTTAGTGTTTATGATTATCTTCCTAATTTGATTTCCCTTTTAAATCACAGACTCTCAAAGAAAAAATTCAATTTATACTTCTATAAAATACAGATRAAATGCCTAGCTTTATTTCTCATAAAGGCCCAAGATAATTAGTTTTAGAAATGACATTTACTCTCCTTTATACTCACATGAAGACTGCTTGATCACAGAACATAAAAAGCAATGGATCATCGTATTTTGCCATTAAGCTCCTCAAAGTCTAAATTACAGGAAGTTGTAAATGACATTTAATTTTTTATAAGCCCTTTAAAAACTGATTGAATAATAATTATAAATAATATTCTAAATCTTTAAAATTTAAGGATAGATTATTTAGAATAAAACAAAAAACTCCAGACTTTGGCTCTACACGATAGATGAAACATATGTGTTGATTTCCACTTCATTTTAAAAACCCCACTAAAATGACAATGAAGGAAACAAAAGACTTGGGCATTGGATGGAACCTAGTAAATGATTTTATCTAATCTATAAACTTCATAGTGACTTGCTCCTTAAGATTTTGAAGGAAACAAAAGACTTGGGCATTGGATGAAACCCAGTAAATGATTTTATCTAATCTATAAACTTCATAGTGACTTGCTCCTTAAGATTATGCTGGAAGTTAGGAGGAGAATCCAGATGAGAACCTGGTCTTTTCTTTTAAGGAAGGGGAAATAGGCAGAAACAATGGAAATAACATTTCTTGACTGATGGCAGTGAGTCAGGCACTGTGCTAGGGACATGACAAGTAAGCTCCAAGTTCTTTCTCATCACAAAATATACAACTACTGATGGGCATGATTTTGCCCTTTATTCTAGAGTAGTGATTCTCAATAGCACTAGGCTATGTGAATATGCTGAAATGTGCTATAGGCTTTCCCAAGACTTTGGTAAGAAGTTCCTGTGGCTTCATTTAAGACAGGATTTTAAAAAATTCATTTGTTCCTTCTACTGCCATGATTTTTTAAAATCTTGTTTTTGCTACATTTGGGTGGGCACCAAGTTATTACTAATCATGCCTTTTCTTTAAAGCAACTCATTATTTTATTATCATATATTTATTTTTAAAAGGAAATTCTCTATCACTTTTGTGGATAACTCTACAAATAAGCACAAGGAAAGCAAAGCAGTGTTATCAGCCTCCAAAGATACTTTCTGAGTTGGAGGCCTACCCTCTTTGTTGGGAATCCCAAACCCAAACCAAACAGAACAAAAATTCTAATACCACCTCATTCCTTATCCTAGGGTCTTCTCCCTCYCTACTTTTCCCTATCACTGAGTTTTAGATTAGAAGAATATTAGTAACATCTGGTGAGTACCCTCTTATCCTACAGACATCATCTCTGCCTTCACAAAGCTCAGTCTGGAAGTAGCAATAGACACTAACTAAATATATACAAAGTATGCTTAAAGCTACCCAAGGGATAATATAGGACACTACAAGAGGACCTAACATGAAGGAAATCTCATTACAGGAGGCCTCCCTGGGAAAGTGAGTTGCACAACAGGACCTGAGGAATAAAGAGAAATCAAGATTGGAAGTGCTCCAGATTAAGGGCCAGGGCACTGGGGAAAAAGCAGAGGGGTCACTACAAGTTGTAGTGGTGATAGGCAAATCTTATTACCCACCTTTCAGGTGGCCAGAGAATGCTGCATTTGGTGTCTGATTCTGGAAGGGAACATACTGGGCTAATGGTGAAGGAAGAGATGGATTTTGGGAACTATAGTGACTAACACGAGTAAAGGAGCTACTTGTTTGCGATGAAGAGGTCAAAGAACTGAGTGTTCAGGAGTGGGGTAGCTCATTGTAGTTATGGTAATATGCCTCTACAATCAAGGCAGCTAGTGTGGAAGAAACTGGAAGTAAAGGAAATAGACTCATTCTCCTTCCTGTGAGATTCAGGAGCATTGGGAGGATGAACAGCTTCCTTCTGGGCAAGCAGTGTCCTCACAAACAGAATGCTTGCCACAGAATTTCTGCTGCACAGAACCTCTTCAAGTAGGTTTCCTGAGCCTCCTTTGAAGGCTGGCTGTTCTTTCCACATGGAGTCATAGCACCTCCTGACCCCTGGAGCATGCCACATCCACAGTACTCATCCGGTGCTAGTAACGYTGCTCTGTACTGCTAGATGGTTTACCCATCTCACCCACAAGCCCCTTAAACACAGGGACTATATATTTTTTTTACTACTACATGTCATAATGAACACATGTCAATAGACATTTATTGATGAAGATTAGTTTAAATTTGATAAAGTGTGTGATAGATCTTCATAAATTGAGTAATATTGTATAACAGGGATCATAACTATTCAAACTGACATGTTTTACTAGCCCCTATTATATTCCCTGAGACAAAAAACAGACAACAACTTCAAAGGACCTTAAAGGTGCCTACCTGAAGGTATTCTTCAAACTGACTCCCAACCCCTAAAGCCTTCATTTATTATCTCATCTCAGAAGATAAGATTATGCTGGGAATAAAAGATCACCAAGTTCAGAGTTTACAAACTAAAATGAATATCACAGTTACCTAGAGAACTTGTTAAAAACAGAGAATCCTGGATCTCACTCCAGACCTAGTGGGTAACAACCTCTGGGTTTGGGCCTTAGAATTTATGGTTTTCAATTAGCTCCCTGGGTAATTCTGAAGCAGTRGGTCCATAGACTGGCATGGCATCAAGGCCACTAATAATATTTCCTCACTTCCTGCACAACAACCCTGACAAATGGTGCTCCAGATGGTTTGAACATGCCTAGTAAGATAGAATTAATCAGTCACACTTTATTCTGAATTTAGATTACCCTGGAACAATGCAAAACTCAAACTCTCTGATAAAAAAACTTCACATTTTTCCTTTTCTCATTGCAAATAAATATTCTRCAATAACATGGCTCAAACAAGTATTGCAAACTGAGCTTGAGTCTCAACCACAATGTTAGATTAAGTTTTATGTGTTCTGAATTTGAGGTGGAGAACTTTCCTCGTGATCTACCCAGCCTATGGTTTCCTTTTGTGAGCCCTGCTTCTCTTCGTGGGCCCAGGAGGAAGTCCATCCAAGCTCATCAGAATCTTTGTTCTTGAAATTTAGAACTGAGACATTTGTGGGTTAGGGTCATTTGAGAAAGGAAGGCATACAAGGGGCTAAAGCAGGTACATGGGGACCACATACAAGGAGAAGCCTAGGGATAGGACACTAGGGATAGTGCTACTAGAAGGGAGGAGAGACAGGGGCTGAGGGAGAGAGGGGGGGAAGGGTTGCAGGGAAGAGTGATTCACACATGCTGTGCTGGCTCCTGACAGAATTCAACTTCCTGGCTCGGGTAACTTCCTTTCCTTTTTTTTTTTTTTTTAAAGAAATAAACATCTTTATTCAATTTTCTTAAAAAAATATACCCTGCAAAAATGAAGATTGAGTATACAAACAAGGAAGCAAATGGGGACATGCATTAACTTCAGCAAAATTAACTGAAAAAGTAACTGTGTATGTGGCTACCAGGCAGTCCTTATCATGATCTCTAACTTCTCTTCACACACCRGGGTTGGGCAGGTGAATGGCCTATGTGACCAACATTGGCTGTTCTTGTTTAATACAGACCCAGCCATTTGTCTCTACCAGAAATRCCAAGAAACCTACAAGATTGGGTCTAGAAAAATCTTATAAAACACCCTGAAAGTGTTCTTAGGCTAAAGGTGGTAGAAGCAGCCTGGTATACTGATTTCATGCCAAGAGAAGAAAGGTCTGATGATAGCCTTATATGTCCAGTCAATACTGGGCACCTCAGACGGACACAATGGACATGAACAAACAGAACTTCTGCTGTTAACTTCACCCATAGACAGTTAAGAGGCCATTAAGCAGTTGGGAGAGAAAACACTGGTAAAGGTGTGTGTCCAAGGTGACAGAAGCAAAAAGGAAGTAGAAACAAACCATCCGTGGGATCTGGATACCTTTGGCTTATTTTCTCACACTAAATTTCTTTTTTACTTAAGCCAGCTTAAATAGGTTTCTACTATTTGCAACAAAAACTCCATAAACTACAATCATATTTTCCCCCTTC